GACCAAAAAAAAAAAAAAAACTTTATAACGAGTTCTGAACGTCCTTCAGGATAATTAACTCACCGCCCATAGGTATTTTATTAGTAATAAGAAACCCATAAATCTCTGAACCACATTCGAAACTACTACGGAAAGAGCTTCTAGATTCTTACAATCCTCCTTAAAAATGTTATAGTGATGAACCTGGTGAGTAAAACTATCGAAAAGCATTAAAATTTAGATGATGAAAGCAAATTAATTGAAAATAATTATGTAATTTAGATGATGAGAAGATGAAAAAGATGAAGATACGAGATAACGAAACTATTGAAGGAAAGTTTAATTACGTTCAATTGTAATCTGTTTTGAATTGCTTTGTTTTATTATTTCTAGTTGCAAATATGATTTGATAAAAAATTAGCGAAGAAATTCGTAATGGAGCCTACGAAAAACATACGAAACGAAACCGGTGAAGTCAGTTATAAAAAACTAAAAAAAAGGTCTATAACCAGTTCAGCAATTAGTATGCAAAACGTGGGCTAATCAGAAAAATATTTTTAGAAGTAATGAAGAAAACGACGTCGATGTAGATGGTCGGAGTCTTTGGCCCACAATGTTCTTTCATGTAATGTTCTTTATTAATTTATTATCTTGTTAGTATAAATTTTAAACATTCGTTTGACGATTTTAAATAAGGATTTTAATTAGAATAGGCGATCTGAGTGGGTGACTTCCAAGTGTTCCTGGCTACAATTTCGAGTGGGTTAGCTCCTTCCAAGGGTATTCCTGGCTACAACTTCGTGCAAGCGAGATTCTTTCCAAGGGTGTTCCTGGCTAGACAGCTTCGTGAGTCCCTTCCAAGGGAGTTATTTGCCACGATTTCGAGCGGGTGAGATTCCTTTCAAGGGTGTTCCTGGCTAGACAGCTTCGTGGCTACAGCTTCGTGCGGGTGAGTCCCTTCCAAGAGAGTTACTTGCCACGATTTCGAGCGGGTGAGATTCTTTCCAAGGGTGTTCCTGGCTAGACAGCTTCGTGCGGGTGAGTCCCTTCCAAGGGAATTACTTGCCACGATTTCGAGCGGGTGAGATTTCTTCCAAGGGAGTTCCTGGTTACTACTTCGTGCGGGTTAGATTCCTTCCAAGGGAGTTCCTGGCTACAACTTCGTGCGGGTTAGATTCCTTCCAAGGGAGTTCCTGGCTACAACTTCGTGCGGGTTAGATTCCTTCCAAGGGAGTTCCTGGCTACAACTTCGTGCGGGTTAGATTCCTTCCAAGGGGGTTCCTGGATACCACTTCGTGCGGGTTAGATTCCTTCCAAGGGGGTTCCTGGATACCACTTTGTGCGGGTAAGATTCCTTCCAAGGGGCGGGTATCTTTCTTTCTGAAGTGGTCCAGACAGCAACTTTGAGCGGGTTTCTTTTCTTCTGAAGTGGTCCAGACAGCAACTTTGAGCGGGTTTCTTTTCTTCTGAAGTGGTCCAGACAGCAACTTTGAGCGGGTTTCTTTTCTTCTGAAGTGGTCCAGACAACAACTTGGAGCGGGTTTCTTTCCTTCTGACTGTTCCAGAAAACAGCTTTGAGCGGGTTTCTTTCCTTCCGACTGTTCCAGAAAACAACTTTGAGCGGGTTTCTTTCTTTCCGAAGTGGTCCAGACAGCAACTTTGAGCAGGGTGTCTTTCCTTCTGAAGTGTTCCGGACAACAGCTTCGAGCGGGTGTCGGTGATAATGAGGATGAAAGGACGATAAAAAAAAACAAAGTTTAATTACAGGTATGATAGTTGTCTAATTCGAACTTAATATTAATTTTTAAAAAAGTTAACATTTGCAATTTGATTCAAAAAAATTAGGCAAAGGAATTCGCAGTGAAATTCGCAAAAAAAAAAAAAAAAAAACCTGTACCGAGAGTTTATTATAAATTATGTAATTAATCAATTAAATAAAGAACGAAAGAATTTTATTTTAAAGTTATGGTGGAAAATTTATTTTTTTTACAGTATATAAATTCGAAAGATGTATAATAATAGTCTATAAATTAAAATATATTTATGGTTTTATATATATTATAATGAAATTTAAAAAAATAATACATTTCGTAAAATTGTATACAAAAAAGAGGGATTGTTACACTTAATGAGATTCTACTTGAACAGTCGCTTCAATTGTAATTGATTTTTTTCAAACTTTTAACGAGGATATCTCGACAACTACCTATCTAAAATCGATTAAAACTTTTATTCTGATTCTATAGGTCAATATAATTAAAATAAAATTTTCGTCGATTTTAGATGGAGTCAAAATTCGAAATAAACTTTGTTTAGATACAATCAAAATCAAAATTTTATTAACGTTAAAAAAATTTATCGTCATTTCTTGGTGTCATACGATCACATGATTTAGCGGCCATGGGACCGTAAGGAATAAGACTTGGTTTACTCTCTTGAGTGATCTTTAAGTTCTGGAGTTTGGTAGTTATCTCGCATGTATTGATGTGTGCA